AGCTCCCTTTCTGGGTGAGGAGGACAATGTCTTTATGCAAGCTTGGATTTCAGAGAGGCCTTCCTCGTAGTCACTGCTTGTGAGGGAAGCAGGGTTTTACTACGGTGGTGGCTGCCTCACTGTAGCAGCACTCCTGAAGCAAGAGAGGGGTAAGGGAAGGGGAGGAGGACAGATGGCCTCTGAGGGTCTGTGCTAATGTCCTGTGCTTGCCATAATAAATCTTCAGCAACAGTGGCTTAAAGAAATAGAAAGTTACTTTCTCCCAGGTCTAGTGACTGGAAGTCTAAGGCCTACATAGCCGTAGGAACACGTGCCCCCTACAGTCTCTAGGGACATGTCTTTCTTTGCCTGTTCCCAGGTGGCTGCTGGCGTCCCTTGGTGTGTGGCAGCGTGACTGCAATCTCTGCCTCTGTCTCCGCCTGACCTTCCTTTTATCTTCTTATAAGCACACTTGTCATTGGGTTTAGGATCCATACCCTGGGTGAGCTCATGTTAAGATCCTTAATTTAATTACATCCGAAAAGACCATTTTCTCAAAGATGATCATGTTCACAGGTTGGAATGACAGAGACAGATCCGTTTTTAGGGCCATCATTCAATCTACAGTGTCTACCTACTTTGTCTACTACAGTGTCTAAATTCTTCCCAGAGTTATCTTGTATACTTCTCCTAATACAGTGATGAGGCCATTACTCCCATTTTCCCCAAGAGAAAACTAAAGTTTAGAGGAGAGAGAGAATTTGTTCAAGTTCACACCATCACTAAGCGGCTGGGCTAGACTGGAAACTCAGGACTTCATCACCAGACATGGGGGAAGGGGGCCAGCATGTGGAAAGGTAAGGAGGATGCAAGTTGGGCCCAGTGAGGAGGATCTGAGAACAGTTTTGTCTTGTTAGGAAGGTGTGTGTGTGTGTGTGTGTGTGTGTGAGAGAGAGAGAGAGAGAGAGAGAGAGAGAGAGGCGATGAAGCTGAAAGGAGTGCTGGGTAGGCTAGGAGCTGGGGATTTAGCTCAGTGGCACAGCGCCTGCCTGGCAAGCGCAAGGTCGTGAGTTCGATTCCCAGTACCGGAAAAACAAACAAACAAACAATGCCCCCCGCCCCCAAAAAAGGAGTGCTGGGTAGGCTGGTTCTTACTACGGAGGGAGAGTCACCCAGGAAGATGGATCCACAGCCAAGGTGAAGACAGAAAGGGAAGGAGAAGCTGAAGCCCTGAGGAAGGCCAAGCCCTGGAGCAAGTGATCAGTAAATGCAGGGAAATTAGAAACCTAGAAAATTTCCCGGTTTGAAAGCGGAGGGTGCTGTGAGGCTACTGCTTGTGTAGGGAAGACATGTAGTGGGCAGTCATGATCTGTAGCTGTTGGAGACTTTCCCTGTAAGCAGTTAAGAGTCTGCCCTTGCCGAATGGGTTTGTAAGAGACCTCCAGCATCAGACAGTCCACGGAGACTTTCTCAGGGTGAAGGACAGAGAGAGGCTCCGAAGGCTTGGCCGTCAGCAGAAGGTCTGTCTCTGTCGGGTGCTTTCCTCATGAGGCAATTCTGTGCTGCGGTTCTGGGCATTGTTCTTGGACACTGAGCTCCATCCTGTTTCTCAAGAAACCAGCGACTCAATGAGCTACTTAATAACTTCATTAAATTCCCTTTCTGCTTTAGCCAGAGAGACTGGATCCCATTATTTACAACTAAGAGCCCAGAGCCATAAAGTGGGTTAGAGGGTGAATGTGAACAAGCATGCCAGGGGACGGGGCATGGTGCATGTGAGGTGTCACTGAAGCAACATTCAGGGCCATGTGGGTCAGGAGCGCAGAGCTGAGACCACCGGCACATAGGTGGCTGTGAGGTGTGTTCAGGAGGGGTGTATTATTCCTGGAAATTGGTTTCAGGAGTGGACAGAAGCAGAGGAGATTTTGGAGGGAACAGAGAAAATGGAAAGACCCTGAGAAAATGATGAAATGAGAAGTAAGAGTGGTTTAAACCCATTTCCCGTCTGCCCTGAGAATACCTGCCAGTGGCATTTACAGTTATAGCATCCCCAGAGTTAACTCACTTAGCTGGAGTTAAATTTACCTCCAGCTGGCTGTGCTGGTTCAGGCCTTGAATCTCAGCCCTCTGCAGGCTCAGGCAGGAAGATCACTGCAAGTTTGAGGCCAGCCTGGGCTACATAGTGAGTTCAAGGCCAGACTGAACTACACATAGTGAGACTCTGTCTCAAAAAACCAAAACCAAAAGCAAATCAAAACAAACCTTACCTCCAAATTTCCCCCAGATCTCTCTTGTTTATTATTATTTTTTAATCCAACTGGTCACTGCAAAGTTTGCTGCTTGCACAATGACACGGACGGCAAGATCAGGCGAAAAACATGTATTTTTGTGCAGAATGTGATATTCTACTTTGTGTTATTCTGTACTTTGAAATTTACCATACCCCCAAATTGCTACATTCTCCTCATCATATACATTTCCGTTACATTAGGAGTATAGACAAGTTCTGTTTTGAAATACCTCCAAGAAAAGTTTTTTTTTTTTGTCTTTTTGAGACAGGGTCTCACTATGCAGTTCCGGCTGGCTTTGAGCTCACTTTGTAGCCCAGGCTGGCCTCGAACTCGCAATGATCCTCCTGCTTCAGCCTCCAGAGTGCTGGGATTACAGGCATGCGCCAACACTCCCAGCTTCCAAGAAAAGTTTTTATACTTTACTTTCACATTGAAAACCAGTCAGATCTGCTTCAGCTTCGGAGTGTGTTTATGTAAAATTAAATGAATGCTGGCAGCAAGCTGTGCTTTCTTTTCTCAATGGGAAAAGAGCGAGCAGCTACCTGTGCTGAAAACTTCCAAGGAGCAACTTAGAAGAATGTGGAAAATGGTGCTTTGCTTTTGGCATTTGGAAGGCTGAGGGTGACGGGTAAAGCTGACCTGCTGATTTGATGGGAAGAGGAGCCATTCTGGTGGGGAACGAGGAGAGAATGGGAGAAGAGCAAGAGCAAGAGCAGCCTAATTCTAGAACCCAGGAGGGAGTGAGAGGAAAAGGTGGGAGTTATGCAGAGAAGCCTAGCTTGCTCACAGGCTCAGGGGAGGAGCTGTGGTGACCTGAGACCATAGTGCGGACTGAACCGGGCAACTAGGGGCATGCCCCATGCAGTCAAGGTGTTTATTCCTTGGTGACCGATATTTTCTGATGTTATTGTGATGATGTCCCTGCCTTGTACCTGCTAGGCAAGAGCTCTAGCACTGAGCTACTACCCCAACCTTTTTTTTATTTTTTATTTTGAGACTGGTCTCGCTCATCTGCTGAGGCTGGTCTTGAACTTGTGATCCTCTGGTTCAGCCTCCTGAGTAGCTGGGATTGCAGGTGTGTCCCTCTGTCTTGGTGCATTTTCTCTTTAATTACATCTAGTTGTTGAATAAAAGTCTTTCAGTTGTTGAAATCCAGTCAGACAGAGGGGATCAAAATAACTTGGATAGGGACACAAGTTTGAAATCCACAGAGTTCTGAAGATGAAGTTGTACAAGGATCTAAACTCTACCTGGATCAGGCACCTGGGATAGAGTCTTCCCACACCCAGATTAATTTTTCTGTTATCGCTCAGTCTGGGTGTAGCTCCCCAGTATGGTCTGAATGTTTGTGTTCCCTCAAAACTCACATATTGAAGCTTAATCCCTGTTTTGAGAGTATTTATGGAGGTGGTTTTGTTAGGCGGGCAGAGTCCTCAGAGATTAAGAGCCTTAATCTCCATACGAGAGGTCGAAAGAAACATGTTTGTCTCTTTTTGTCACATGAAGATACAATGAAGCGTCATCTATCAAGTAGAAAGGGTCTTCATGTGACACCCAGGTAACCTGAAGCTTGATCTTGAACTTCCTAGCCTCCATAACTATCAGCAGTCCATTTCTGTTGCTTGTAAATTACCTGGTCTAAGGCATTTTGCTCTAGCAGCTTGAACAGAATAAAACACTCCCTTCCTCTGAGACCTGTGGTTTGGTCTACTGCCCAGAGAATGGACTCTCCTTGTTTCAGTTTCCTGAAACACAGGCACTCTCTCCCGGCTCTCTCCTCTGGAGCAGAGAGGGCTGGGACCTGCGGCTTCCTCCCCAGCAAAAGGTGTTGTGCCCGAAGTCACCTTCCAGCCAGGCTGGCACCAGAGTGCGCATGCTTGTTTGATCTCCATGCAATGGGAGGCCAGCACTGTGGCTCTTGGTGTATTTTACCTGCAGCCCAGCCTGAGCTTGCTTCTCTGCAGGATACTGAGAACATGGGACCTGTACCTGCTGATCTTCCGTTGGTACCTGTACCAAGTGACACTTGCTGATATTCATCCTGAGTCTGTCGGAGATCTTTATGTGTGCCACTCTTGTGAGCATCAACTGCGCAAGGCTGTACTTATTTTCTCACTGTCTAATGTCTCCCGATTAGAATTTTTGTCTTCTGTGGGGGCCAGGGACACCAACTTACCCATGTATAGCTGAAAATGTATAGCTGCGATGAGCCCATGGTGAATGCCCACTTAATCCTGTTAGCTTGTGTGCAAGAGAATCAGTAATCCTCTACCTCGCACTGTTTGGTGCAGGGAAGGATAAATGGCAATGTTGCAGAACCTTTAATTCATTACCAAAGCCCTCCTTTTCCCTCAGTGTCATAGAAAGATGCGCAGAGGCAGACATGAATATCGAGTGGGGCACACACAGTTGTCTGAAGCGCGGTGTTCTCGGAAGAGTTAGAGCAACTGTCAAAGCCCCTGACATATCCATTTTTAATAGTTTTGATGGTGATTTGATGTTGTTAGGGATTCAGGTCTCATCTTTGCCTCTGAGATCATCTGAATAACGCTGGTGATGGGGAAGAGAAAGCAGAGATGAGGCATCCACAGGCATCCTGGATCTGACCATATAAATCCGGGAGGAGGAAGCGGGCAGGACAGGCTGGCCTTCCTAGCTTGTCGAGCACAAGGCTGAGCCACAAGTGAGCGACATCAGAGAGGACAACATTCGCCTTCACCCCAAATGACCATGAGAGGAGCCATGGAAGTCTCAATCATGCTTCTCCTAGTAACTGTATCGGACTCTGCCGTGATCACGGGGGTAAGTCCAGCCTTCTCTGTGCCTGCGTGTTCCGACCATGTCAGCATCTGCACAGTTCCTGAGCCCTCGAACTGCCTGGCACACTGCAAATAAAGGGGAGCGGGGAGGCAGCTATCAAACAGCCCCCCTGAAGAGGGACTGCATGTGATCTACAGACTAGTCACACCTCATTCTCATGAGCAGGGTTAGCTTTTAGAATCTGTGTGTGAATCGAATCTTGTGTTAAATCCATTAAGAGAACATGAAAAATTTAAATTTTGGTCCCTTGCTAAAATGAAGATTGCGTACTATGGCATTCCTTTACAAAGTAGGTTAGCACCTCCTAATTTATTTTTTGGGTAAAGTTTGGTTTTTATATAAGATCCTCATGTCAATCGAAACACAGCAGATTGGCTTCATTAAAGAGTGAGTTTATTGGCTGTTCTTTCGTCAGTTTCACCTCCTCTGCATCTACTTTTCAGAAGTTGTTTTAAAAGCCCTTCTTCTGCTCTGCCCCCAGTTAGCTCTCAGTGGAATAGGGTTGCCACCAATATTTGGCTGAGTACACTTTAAACAAGTAGAAACGGGGCCTCCCAGCAGGGGGTTATCCAAGGGCATTGCGCACTTCAGAATTCAAATGCTACAGGTTGTGGTGTCCTCCCAGATGTCTGGCCCCACCTCGAACCACTCTCGCCTGGGCACACAATGGGTGAGGGTGGCGGGAACGTTCTTATTAAAATCAAAAGCAATGCTTGTCTGACAGCTTTCTGGAGGAGAGTCCCAAGAAAAAAGAAAGGAAATTAATTTCATTTCAACCTCTTCCAACATTTTACATAGAGAAGGGAAATGTGGAGTAATACGAGACAATTCCTGGAACTGAAGTGGTTATAATGTTCGGGGAAAGGATAACTTCATTCTCCTTTCTAAAGGACAAAGTCTGAGCTCAAAAGAAGAATGAATACTAAGGTCAAACCAACGCTCTGGAGACACAAAGCCGAAATAAAATTGGAAGGCAGAATGACAACCAGTGGGTGTAAACCGCTGAAGGCTGGCCTCCTGCTGTGTGGTCTAAAGGTCTGGGTGGGGTTAAGAGGAAAGGAAGGAAGGACAGAGGCATGGATGTCCCACAGGAAGGAAGGAAGCACAGAGGGACCTGGAAGCCCAGCTAAGTTTCCCTGGGCCGGCTCCAGAGCCTGGGTCAGAGTAGCAGCAGGTAGACATATGGGAAGGGTTTTGTCATCTTCATGGTAGAAAAAGCATAATAAAAGAAAGTTAGGGTTGGGGAAATATATGAATTGCCAGATGAAAAATTAAAACAGGTTGAAAGGAGGCCAAGAGCCCTCGGCCACCACCCTTTCTCCATGTCCTGCTGGTGTCCCGCCTCTGACTCTCAGGAAGAGACCTGGTTCTACCCTCTCCAGGCTCCCGTGACCCCTGGACTGACTGTTTCCCAAGTTCAGGGTGGATAGCCCTTCCTCTCAGAGCAGGGCAGCAAGGCCCCAGCACTGCAGGAGAAAAGCTGAGTGAAATCTACTTCCCCACCCTCAGTTTTAGGAGACTGGCTGGGGTGTGAGACAGGCCTTTGCCAGGCTGGAGACAGGCAGCCAGTGATGCCCCCAGCACCTCCTCTGGGTGAAAGGGGACTTGACAGCCCCTGTCCTCCAGGACTGCGAGGGCTGAAAGCTGCTAGTTCAGTCCAGGCCCACACGGGCACTAGAAGTTCTCCATGGCCTTCTGCTGGGGAAGAGCAAATCAAAACCCAGCTTCGGATTTCAGCTCAGCAACGACTAAGGGCTTCTCTGAAGCGGCCAGCTCGGGACGTTCTCCCTCAGGCCCTGCCTGCAATCTGGAGCAGTTCAGAGTTCTGTGCTCCTGACCTGGGCTTTTATGCAAAGTGGGCTTGTGTGGCCTTCTTTAAGATGGTAAGGCCTGCAGCCTCTTCTGGGAGCCCAATCCAGCAGAGAAGCGCTGGGGAGAGACGCCTGTTCACAGCCTGAGGGCTAGAGCCAGCATGTGGAAGAGGCACCAGCCACAGTGCTGGGGCAGGTGGAGAACCCTGGTCGGAGGCAGCCCACACTGACCACCGGGGGTCCTGGGTCCGCCCTCACACACTCCTAGGACTCTAATGAACCCAATCCCTTCAGCGTCCACCAGGCATCTGCTGGCACAAGAAAGGCTCTGCCTCCGAAGCCTCTTCCCCTCCAGACCTGTCAGACAAGGAGGCCTGCCTCCTACCTGAAGCCCTCAGAGGACAGGGGTGGTTCCTCAGAACCAGGTCTGATGGCCCGCAGAGCCCTGAGCATCCTGCCCCAGGGGGAGCAGCGACAGTAACCACAGCCCCAGGTGCTCCGTTAGGTGGAGGCCAGGGTAATACTCAGCCTCTTCTTTCGGATCAGGATGGAGCATCTGGTTTCTCTCGGTGGTGCTAATGGGCTGCGCCCTTCTCTGCCCCTGCAGGCCTGTGATTGGGACGTCCAGTGCGGGGCAGGCACCTGCTGTGCCATTAGCCTGTGGCTGCAGGGGCTGCGGATGTGCACCCCGCTGGGACGCCAAGGAGAGGAATGTCACCCTAGCAGCCGCAAGGTATCGTGCTGACGCGGGGGTGCATGCCCATGGGTGAAGCAGGGACTGAGCTGACAGGAGGTCCTGGGCTTGGTTCCACTAGGGCTTCTGAGGACAGGTGGGGAAGGGCAGCTTGCTCCTTCAAGGCAGGAGCCCTGGCCTGCAGGAGGGGAAGCAGGAGGCCATGGAGGCACTGCTGTCTGTCCTACTGCCCCATCTCTCAGAGCCCTGCAGATGAGGTTGGTGCAGTGTGCACAGCCTGACATCGACCACCTACCACCTTCTAGACAGGCTGGAGCATCCCTGATTTTTTTTTTTTGTTTTTTTTCCGGTACCAGGAATCGAACTCACAACCTTGCACTTGCCAGGCAGGCGCTGTGCCGCTGAGCTAAATCCCCAGCCCCCACTGATGTTGTTTGATCCCCACAGCCACTCTGAGCTGTGGTGATGGGGCTGAGGGGCAGCAAGGTCCTGTGAGGCACACAGCCAGAGAGACAGCCGGCCCAGCACTCCAGATTCTGGTTGTACCTCACTGCTGTTGGGCTCTGCCTCCTCTTTTGGGGTAGAACGGTGGCCTCAACCACACAGGCTCCTAGGCCTTCGTTTGCTGTGGTCTTGGGCAGTTAGCTCAGCTGCTTTGGGCCTCATGCACACACTGAAGAGAGTGAACGAATTACCCTGAAAGTCCCTTATGAATCTCAGAAATTTAGCTTTTGAAAGAGGCTCAAGTGGGCTGGGGATTTAGCTCGGTGGCACAGTCCCTGCCTGGCAAGCGCAAAGTTGCAAGTTCGATTCCCAGTACTGAAAAAAAAAAAAAAAAAAAAAAAGAAAAAAAGAAAGAGGCTCAAGTGCTCTTTGCTGCCTGGGAACCTCCCTTTAAGAACATGAAGTAAGACCAGGAAGTGGCCTCCCAGGACCGCTGGGACCTCAGTGGGAACACGTATCCGGTGGGTAATAAAAACTAATGCTGAGTACTTCTTACACACTGCTGTCACACCAGGTTTTTCATAAACACATAATTTCGTGTTGTAAGTGCTATTAACCCATTGTAAACATGATACAGTTGTGGCACAGAGAGGCTAAATACATGGCTGATTTACACGCAGCTGGAAAGTGTCAGACTTGGATTTGAACCTGGGTGGCTGACGCTGGACCTGTTTTCCTAACTGCTTCTATTCAAACCCCTTAAACATACCTCCAAGGCTTAGGACTCCTTCGGGATGTGCGCCAGAACGCCGGCCTGTCCCTTCACAGCTGCCCCCCGGGCACCCAGCACAGAGTCCAGCACATACCAGATGCGCAGCGGTGTTCAGCGTTCTGGTTGTGCAGAGCCCTGCTGCCTGGGTCCCAAGCCCAGCTCCTCTGCTAACGGGCTGTATGACCTTGCTGTTATTCTGTGTCTAGCTCTGCCTGTCTATGATCACTGATTATGCTAGGTGGTGGGAGGTGAGTTGAGTCATTTGCCAGGGCTGGGGAGCCAGTGGATCCTGCAGGAGGCTATTTTCTATGGGTGAAGCTCTCATTCTCCTTTTTTCCCAGGTCCCCTCCTTCCGGAAACGCTGGCACCATGCCTGTCCTTGTTTGCCCAACCTGCTATGCTCCCGGTTCCTGGACGGTAGATATCGCTGCTCCATGGACTTGAAGAACATCAACTTTTAAGAGCCTGTCTGGCCTCAGAACACCTGTCCCTGAGCACAGCTTCTTCTGGACTATGCGGCCAGCTTTCCCTCACTGCCCCAGTCCTCCACGGCCCACCCAGTCCCTCCTGCCCCGCACACGCATGTGCACCAGGCAGGCATGCCCCCTCTGTGGTGTGGGGGGTATGCCCACGAGGGTGGTCAGCCTGGCTCTCTTGACTGCTCAGGCTGCCTGAGAAGTTGTGAATGTGGAAAGGACATTGGCCTCCTGCGCAGACAGCTCGCACTCCTCCCTGGGCTCTGTCCCTCACCTGCATGGGCCCTGCTCCCTGAGCCAGACATTCCTGAGCACAGGTCTTTGGGTGCATTTCTCAGAGACACATGGGGTCTGGGAAGACCAAGCTGAGAGTTGCCTATCTTCCTCTGATTGATAACTCCTTATGCTTAGATCTCAGGCCTCAGGGACCTGTTCCAGAGAACAGAGAGCCGTCACTCTGAGGTGGGAGCTGGAGAGATCAGGCAGCCTCCTGACAGCTCCAGTTCCAGCCAGCTTGTGACCTGTGACCTTCAACCTGCCCAGTGGATCAGAACTGCAGTGCCCCTAAAGCACCTCCCTAACACCCTGTACCAACTCACCAGTGAGCCCCCCTTCTCAGCGGCTCTCCATTAAAATGCAAATGGTGAAGCTCAATCTCAGCTGATATTGACCTGTTAGAAGGCAGTTAGGGGGCAGTTAGAATTGTTGTCTGGCCTCAGCTCCCCTCTCTGGCTTTTCCCCGCCTCTTGCTTCCTGACAGCAGCTTTTCTCTGTCAGCTGATATTGACCTGTTAGAAGGCAGTTAGGGGGTTAACTTAAGCAGCCCCTTGAGAGCAGACCTTGAGCAGGGCCCTTCCCTGTCTGAGTAGGAAGAAAGGGAGGGAGGAGAGGAGCACCTATGCACTTCAGCTTTGGAATAAAAGGAGGACAAAACCCGGTTGTGTAGGCACGATACTCCCACCTCTGCTTTAGCCAAGGTCCATGCCTGTGTGGGGCCAGGCTGTGTCCAGGTGGGAAAGGGGTGAGGCTGGTGTTCCTTCTCCCAGCCAGGGCAATATTTTTGGAGTAGGTGGATTTCAGTGGCTCTTTGAATGAGTTTTGAAAGGCAGTTCAAAGAGTCTGGTAAGGGAGTTTGAAGGGTTTAAGACAGGAAGGGTGCTGTAAGCTGGTCTGGGGTGGGGAGTCTTGACCGGGAGACTGCTTAGCTGACTGTGATGGTTAATCTTGATTTTCCCCTGGATAGAGGCACCTAGGAAATTCGTAAGGCACACTTCTTGGTGTGCCTGATGGGTCAGGGGGACATGAACTCGGGGATTGCGTCTGGCCTCAGCTCCCCTCTCTGGCTTTTCCCCGCCTCTTGCTTCCTGACAGCAGCTTTTCTCTGTCATGTCCTTCCGCCATGATGTTCCTGCCTTGAGCCAGCCTACCATGGACTGAAATTGCTGAAACCATGAGCCAGAATAAATCTCTCCTCCTTCTCACTGGGGGTGTCAAGTCTTTTGTCCCAGCAACAGAAAGGTGTAGTTGCAACTCAGATTTCTGAAATTTTGTCTTTTTTTTTTTTGCCTTTGTCATATACTTAACCCCAACAGGCTGCTGATAACCTGGGGCAAGGCAGGTCACATCAGAGAAAAAGAGAGAGAGAGAGGGAGCTAACAAGGGCCTGAGCCTGTATCTGAGCCCAGGACTGGGACCGTTCCCTACATGTAAGTCATTGGTTATATGGACTCTTCCACACCTCAGTTTTCATCCTATACAAATGCACAATACAAATGGAAAGTGTATCAGATCCCATTCGATTTCTCAGGAGCCTCAGAAGGACTGGAGTTTCCAAGCCCAGGGCTCCTGCTCTCCCTGAGAGCCTATGCTATACTTATCCTCCATCCCTTCTGACCCTTTCTTGCCAGACGGTCTTTTCTCCAGGATCCATGCAGGCCAGAGGGGCCCGCTCAGCCGCTGTCTTACTTGCTGAGGTCTCCTTCGGCAGACACCGTCGCCTGCTCTCCTGACTTTGCAGACTTTCCCTTCCTTCAGCCCACACGTCACTCGCCCTCTTCTTGTCAGGCTCCTGCTGCAGTTGTAAAGTTTCTTTTCAAGATCAAGATTCCAGTTTTTCCACCCTTGCCCTCTGGGTCTCCGGGGACTGCTGACTGCGACCAGGCCATGATCTCTTGGGGCCCTTTCCAAATTGCACTTCTCCCAGGGAGCACAGCCATCCAGAGGGAGCAGCAGGCAGTGCCCAGGGCTGCAGGCAGCAGGCACTAGGATGCCCCTGGCTGCTCCTGAAGCCCCCCAGCCCGCCCCCCTACTTCCCCTACTCTCCCGGCCTACAGACAGGCCAGCAGCAGACACGTCAGGGGCAGAACCATGTTTCACCTAGTTGAACCCAGTCTCATGTTTTATAATGGAGTTCTGAGAAGGGTGTAAGTGGTCTGGACCCCAGTTCTCTGCTGCTGCTGTGGAAGACAGGAGGGCAGCCGGAGGGGTTGATGGGGAAGCTAAGAAAAGTACATTTGTGAGCCTTCTTCCATATTTAGGAACATATTCTTCATACCGACAGGCATGTAAAGAATCTCCTTATAAGAATGGTGTGTCTCTAAGGCAAATGTATTCTAGACGGATGAGATCAGGTGAGGTTAACGTGCATTCTAGGTCCACTTCATTGTTTACTTCCAATTTGGCTTCAAATCTTTCATCACAAGTGGCGGTGTCTGGCGTCATCTAGTGGTGAAATTGGGGGTAACATAAGATTGAGGCAGAAGAGGCCATCTCCGGAAAGCAGCCTGGACCATTCCCCGGATGAGACTTAGAAGGGCAGCGTTCCCATCTATGGAACAGGTCTGCCCCCCGAGGGACCACAGGAAGTACACTTAATTGCCATTTGGGGCCACGTCTCATTCTAGAGCATCTTTCGTGCTGTCTTCCTGCTGTGAGTTTGGGACAGGTGTTGAGGACATTGTCACAGTTTGTCCAGGAAAGTGGATGTGAGCGAGGATCAGAACAACACGACCGATTGTCCGTCACGTTCCTCTGTGCACCCCGGGACTGGCTTGAGCGGATAAAGCTGCCTCTCTGAGGCTTCTTCCTCATCCGGCCCCTCCTCATGCATTTTCTCTGCCATTCATCGGGGTGGACACCCCCACCATTTATTTCCCTGGTATCCCAGGGAAAACAAGGTGGTCCTGTGCCTGCAGCCCTCCCCTCAGAGGACGAGGTGTCAGACGCAGACTGAGAGGAGGGCAGCAGCCAGAGCAGAGGACGTGCCAGGAGGTCTGCAAGGGTTTGAAATGCTATGAGAAGATTCCGCGAAAACTGGCAGCTAAAGCTCCTGCACCTGAACGCGCGCCAGTGAGCGCGTGACGTTGTCGTCTTCAGAGTGTTGCCGGCGCGCCCATCCGGTTCGCCCCTGGGGTCAGAAGGCAGTGACTAGGGCTGAGTTCTCAAAGCAGAGCAGAGAGGTCCCAAAGCCAGAGAGAGGGCTCACACAGCAGGGGCTTCAGGGTCGGGGCACCGGCCTCAGCGCGGAGGTTGCCGGCAGGTGACATACTGCTTCACAGACCGTGTTTTCCTAGCGTGGCTTTGGTTGGGAGGGGCCCGTAGGGCAACACTTGGTGATCTTATTCTTTCATACTCTGACAATCCAAGGGCTCCAGAAGCTGCTGCCTGAAAATTCCTCAGCTTCCAGGTGAGCCTCAGTCCCCCTGAGCACTTGCCTGGCTTATACCAAAGCTGCAGATCCTGCCAGGGGAGCAAGGGAAGCCCGTGGCGGCCAGACATGTCCTCTCTGTGTGGGTGTCCTCGGGCGCACTTTCTGATCAGGCGTTGGAAAGGAAAGCGAGGAGCTGGCTGTAAGCAGCTGTTCCCCGCCCCTGATGAGGAGCCAAGAAAAATGTGTCCGAACAATGAAGCATTATTCAGCCATGAGAAGAAGCAAGGTATTGATACGGGCTACGTCATACCAAGTGAGGGAAGCCAACCACAGAGACCCTGTCACCTATGAGTCTGTTTACGAGAAACGCCCAGAATAGACAAAGTCATAGAGACAAAAAGCAGATTAGCGGTTAGCGGGGGTTGGGGGTGGGGTGGAGGCACAAAAATGGGAAATCACTGTCCTTGCATTCTGAATTTATTTTGAGAGCAATAAGAATGTTCTAAAATTAGATGGGAGGGATGGTTGTATAGCTCTATGAGTATTCCAAAAGTTAACCAAATTCTTTTTAAACGGGTGAGTGGTACTGAAAAGCTACTGAAAAATCAAAATCTACAGGGTAAAAAGAGAGAAAAAAAAGAGTGGTCTTCCGGCTTCAGTTCAGAGCTGGAAAGGCTGATACCAGAGGGGCCAGGCTTGACCTCCAGGGCCCGGAGGAGCTGGGGAACTGTCAGGATCTGGTGACCCCCAGCACTGGGAAGGGTGGGTATTGCTTGCTGGAAAATGACTTGATGTGCCTTCAGATGGGCACCTTTTGTTTTCTTGTGGTACTGTGAACCCAGGGCCTTCACACTGAGCCAACTCCCCAGCTCCCTTTAAATTTTATTTTATTTTGAAAGAGGGTCTTGTTAAGTCACTAAGGTGCCCAGGCTTGGCTCCAACTTGTGATCCTCCTGCCTCAGCCTCCAAGAGCACTGGGATTATAGGAAAATAGCTATTTTTTAAAAAATGATCTTTTTATCTTTTTTCTCCTTAAAATTAAAAACAATTTAAAAATAATCTTTTAATATTTATTTTGTCATAGGGAGGAGAAGAATTTCATATAGGTCAAACTGTATATAGTGAGCCCTTGACACCCATGAATTCTGCATGTGGATTCAGCCATCAGGGGATGAAAACTATTTTAAAAAAATGAATGTAAGAAACATAAATTGGAGTCATTTGTAGGAAAATGTACGCACTTTGAGACTAGAATGTTAAGTACAATATATCAGACACACAAGCTTAAGTATCACACAGTTTCTCGTATGTGAGAAGCTCAAATTAGAAACAAAGAGCAAAATACAAGATAGAAAATAGGAAGTGGAGAGACAGATCTTTCTGAAAGGGAAAGGAGCTCAAGAGATAGAGGCAGAGGGGAGAGAGGAGGAGAAGGGGCTGAAAAAGGGCTTGCGCTGTTTTGTGTGTGTGGACCAACTCCACACAAGGAGTGTAAACATGACG